GTTTGTTTTCATTTTTGTATAAACAAAGGTTTAATTTATTTTTATTTTACAACAGTATAATAACTTTCGAAAAAGATTATATTTGGATAATTCTGACTAAGTAGAAAGTATTTCCGGTTAGGAATATCTCAAGCAACACATTATTTATCATATAAAACCTTAAAAAATTATTAACTCAATTTCGGGTGGCAGTAAAAGCATAAAATAAAATCGAAATGGTTGAAATGTTAGTTTATACGTTGTTGCTAGATAATGAAAACACTTTTGAAGCTTGTAAACAAAGTTTTAATTGAGGCTTTGTTCTTATTTTTATGGCGTTGTGAAATATTTCAGAATTTTCAAATTATTTTGTCCTTTTTTTCCCGTTTTCTATGTAGAATGCAATGCCCCACATTATCTTCTAAGTAATGCAGTAATTACGTTGACTTAGATTTCCTTAAAATAAAAGTCTACAACAATACAGTGTAATAAATATTATTTAATTCAGAAAAACAGAGACAGTTCAATTCTAAGTTATATAAGAATCAGATAACTTTATCACTTTTATAATTGTAAGTTTCTGTAACCATACCTTGTTTTTAAAATGTTAAAGTTTCTATTCGTTATTAAGCAAGAGTGCTTGATTTGTTTTGAATTTCGCGCAAAGCTACCTGCGTTAGCCGTCCCTAATTTAGCAGTGTAAGACTAGAGGGAAGGCATCTAGTCATCACCACCCACCGCCAACTCTTGGGCTATTCTTTTACCAACGAATAATGGGGTTGATTGCCATATTATAACGCCCCCACGGCTGAAAGGGCGAGCATGTTTGGTGGGACGGGGATTCGAACCCACAATCCTCAGATTGTGAATCGAGCGCCCTAAATACCTGGCCATGCTGGGCCATAAACAAGAAGGAATCGTCAATAGTCGCGGCACTTGAAATTATTTTGGGTAGGATAAGAGTAAATTAATCCATGATACCTTTGTTTCCCTTTTTATTAGCTACATTTTTGTGCACCAGCAATACCAAGCGTGGGGTGCGCGTACACCTGATTTCATTTTATTACTCATCGGGATCTCTACTAGCCTACCCTCAAATTGAAATTATTTTAGGCAGGATTAAAGTAAATTAAATCATCAGACATTAGGCGTGATCAAATACATCAATCGAAAGTGTTTAATTTCCTGAGTCCCAAACTGTAATTAGATCTCAAATCGGTCAAGAGATGAAGGAGCTATGAGCTAAAAGTTTGTAGTTGAAAAAAAAAATTCAGAACCGTTCTATGAGCCGCTCTATCGCGCGAAAAATAGAGCGTAGACTATATAAAACAGTTATTTGTAATTATAACAATGAGGCTGCCTACAGAACTCAGTTTCGTAATAATGTAAGAATAATTCGTAAAAATTGTTTAAAAAAACTCGATCTGACCAAAAATAAAGTAAATGGAAAAACTTTAACTTCTGTGGTATCGTGTTTTTTTGTTGTTTTTTTTGTTTTTACTTACAACGTTAAAATCCGGGGTTTTATTCCCAGCGGTGGACAGAGCACAGATAGTTCATTGTGTAGCTTTGCGTTTAAACAAACAAACAAAGATTATATCGTCTTTAGATACTGTTACGTATTACAATTTCGAATGGTCTGAAATTGAGTTAAATGATACTTTAAATTTAGTAAAAGCCGATATACAGTCAGTTTATGATATTTGCCAACAAGATTGATACACGCAGATTTCTTTTTTAACACAAATATGTTTTAATATATAAACAACAATACAATTTACAATAACAGTTATAACAAATAGTTACTACACACACAATGATTTATATACAGAAATTTTACAAACAATATAAAGTCTTCTTTCTGGTATAGAACTTCGAGGGTTTACGATGAGCGAGTTAATTACGAGTTGATGTAGGTACGATTCGCTTAACGGGGAGCTAGCTAGCATTGTTCTTCGTTATTAACCAGCCACACACGCTGAGTTTTCCACGATGAAGTTATATAACGTTTTCGTAAAAGTACTAATGTCCGATGAGAATCCACTGAAGTTAAATGATTTGTAATGTTCGAACTTCGTAAATGCTTCTGGTCAAATATCTGAAGTTTTCCGATTGATAAGCGTTATAACAGTCACAGTTATAGCTTCCGAAGTTTATAGCACACTGACTATAGCAAACTAATAATAGATACTACTTTTTTTGGCGCATCGCGTTGGTTATATTTATAGTCGTGTGGAGAGTTTCTAGAAAATTCAGATTACGTAACAATACAAAGCTACATTAAGCGTTTACGTATATACATATATATTGGTGATTCTTACACTCGAGAATCTTCTACAACTTTGGCGAATAGGTGGGATTTTCGCAATAGATATTTAACAGTGTAAGTTATGTATGTTTATAAATATAAATTTAATCTAAACAAACATCGATATTAAAATAAATATATAATAATAAATCCGTCACAGTACTGATGAAGTTGGGGCGCGAGTTTCCCCTGTAGTAGCGCTCTGGATTTCGAAGCTGGCACCCCTGGTTCCAATCAGTGCGATACTACAATATATTCCCCCGCGCTTTAATCTTTGGGTATCTTATAAAAAGTGACAGTCAGTCTCTTGGCGTAGATGGTGGACTTCTGCTGGCTGGTTGCCTTCCTGCTGGTCAGTAATTCAAAATTAGGGACAGCGACAGATAGCATTAGTAGCTTTGCCATAAATACAAATGCAAAACAAATAGTGAAAAAATGTCCCAATTTCCGTTATCTCCAAAGTCAACACTACAACATCATATTTACTATGAGATTTCAAAGTCAATGTACTTTACAAGCTATATTAACATGAAATAAAAGTGGTGAATTTTGTTGTGTATTTTTCAATAACATAATCACTTTAATAAGCGGATATCCAAAGCATAATACATATTAAATATATGTTTTAAATGCTGGTTCTTGTTAAACATTAAAAGCATCTTATAATTAATTATAGAACTGTAGGTTATATGTCCAGCGTTCTTTGTAAGATCTCAGCTAAAGTCAGTAATAAACAGTTTCCAGGTGATTAAGAGTCGACTAGTTAACAGACTAAGAGTTATTAAGCTAGTACCTTGTTACTCAAGTTTTGGCCTTAAAATGTCTTGCCTATATCTAAAATGCCAGATAAACGTCACTGCAAGAAATGTTAGAACCTATTGACGTTTTTGTCACCCGGTAGCTTAGCGGTAAGTTTCAGAGTTGATAACGTTCAATTTCGGGGTTCGATATTCGCGAAGAAAACAATGCTCATAGACCACTGCGCAGCTTTGCACGAGAGTAAAAAAGAAAATAATAAGAAAAGAGAGAGCAAATAACAAGTATTGACCTTAACTCTTAAACTACTTAGTTTATTGTTTAAATACTATTTTAACTTTTTTAAATTAACAACCTTTTAGTTTATTTAAAATTAGTTTAATTTGGATTTATTTAGCTAAATCATAATTAAATAAGTAGTGAAATGTTGAGTTATTTAATATTTAGATATTTCTATAAACGTTTTTATTAACTGATTGGTTGAGAGCTCAGTAACATGTGACAATGAAAATGTCCATTCACTGACATGATATAGTATCTGCTACTTACATTTATTTTTTATTTTTTTTTTTTACAAACACTTCAGCAAATAGAGGTTTAGGAACGTTTAGTTAACATTTATTGTTTTAAATGTGTGGGCGGATTTGTTAACATTAACCACTACTCTACAGATAAATCATTTATTTTCGAACCTTGGAAGCGGGTTTGGGTGTTTCCATACCTTACGTACCTCAGACATTTTCCCTTAGTTTTTGCTGTTCCACATTACAGTTTGATTAGAGATTAGAACGTTATGAATGAGGTAGTGGAGGTTGAACGAGATGTTTAAGTTACTACAGATGGAACATTGTGTTACAGAGACTAAATATTGAAACGTTACACTTAATGTACTAGAGATTGGAGTTTAATGTTTAAAAGACTAGAGATGGAAACATTATGTTAAAGAGACTAGATATTGAAACGTTACTCTTAATATGCTTGAGGTTTGGGCGTAATGTTTAAAGGACTAGAGATGGAAGCATTATGTTTAAAATACTAAAGACTGAAACTTTATGTTTAAGTGACTAAAGATTGAAACTTTATGTTTAAGTGACTAAAGATTGAAACTTTATGTTTAAGTGACTAAAGATTGAAACGTTATGCTTAAGTGACTAAAGATTGAAACGTTATGTTTAAGGTACTAGAGACAGCAACGTTATGATGCCTCAAATTAATTACATTTTTCTCATCCTTTCCGCCAATCCCCTTCAACACCGAGCTGTGAACTCTTAACCTCCCAATCAAGAATGTTCCTCTTATTCATCCACAACATACAATCATCATCACCCCAACTTTTCTCCATCTTGAGGGTGAAGAGGAGAACGACAACACTTCCTGAGTATCCTAGGCGTCACACCTGAGCACCGACTGTTAGAAGTGTCTGAGTCAGTTAGACGTCAGCTAGCGTCTTCTTCATTAGTGGCGCTTTTTTGACGTTTCGACGTCAACTGACGTCTTTATCAGTGAGGCATTAACCTGTTGACTAGGGTTAAATGGACTCATTTGCTCTAAGTCTCTAAGTACTTATAAGCACACGATATTAAATTGGTACCGTGATATTAGTATCTGCATTTACTCCAATATTGTTTTCTAAAGCAAACAATGATTCACTACAAAAACATTGAAACCTATTCATTGAGTTTTCCCAGTAAGTTTACTAATAACTAAGTACATTTTTTTTAAATGAGCGTGTTAACTATCCTTGAAAGAACTAGATGTCGCTGTTATATATTCTTTTAAACGATTATTAAAACCTCAAACATAATAAACTCCAGGGTGATCAGTATGTAATCTTATATCTGTCAGAAGTGATTTAACAGCATTCTTATTAGATTAAGTTGTTTTATTATTATGATTAATGTACAGTTTTTTTGTTTTGTTTTTTATGTGTAGATCGAGGTGGGATCAACAACGAATCTTTTGACTTCAGCCAACTGCAGGAATTCATTAATGAAGAAAACATCGCTGAATTGTATGTTAATTATCTTTGTTGTTCATGTTGTTTTTACTAAAATACTAAGGAGAGGTCAAAACATCAATTAAGTTTTGTCCATGTCGCCCTTAAGACTACTTTAAGTCACACACGTGATTTACGATTACGTGACAGAGAACAGATAATCGAATCGTTTCATTAAAATAATACAATTTGAGAACCTAATTCATTTTAGTTTTAGGTTGAGGAACGGAAACACATTAATATCATCACTTCAAAACATAATTTGTAATTAAATGTGTTTTGTATTTAATATTCTGCATTAAGGCAGGAAGAAAACGAGTTCACCAAATTCAAGCAGACTTTGGATAATTTCAATGAAATGACCTATTTCAAAACTGCAAAAAAGACCTTATCGCTCTCTTTCGTAATGACACTACCAATACACATTATCCTATGAAGATCATAAAAACGTATTTGCTGGTTTAAGATAAGTTTTTTGTTTGTAATTAAGCACAAAGCTACACAATGGACTATCTGTGCTCTGCCCACCACGGGTATCGAAATCCGGTTTCTAGCGTTGTAAGTCCACAGACTGTGCCACTGGGTGGCTTTAAGATAAGCTAGCGAACTTCTTGTTATTACGTATACTTTTAGGTTGTTTATGTATTTTATCTTTATGAATCAAATGAGTTTGTTATTCATCTCAAGTCCTAATTACAGCTAATAATGTTGAGACCTTACTTAAAATTCTTGTCATCACAGTTTGTCTGAATAATGTTTTACGCAATGTAAAAATCACATAAAATAAATGTAATTGAAAATAAGATGTCTTCATTAGCTGAAAAAAAAAATTAATAAGCCATCTTGTCCCGAAATCCGCAGATATTAATAGCGTACACAGTAGTATATTATAGATATAGTTACTTATCAAGAATGGAACTGATTCCAATTATTAACTTATTTTCATTTGTGTTTTTTTTTAGTAGAGTGTATAAAGGTTTCTGTGTTATTATTGTCTGAAGCATATTTTCATGCACCTGTGGCGTTTTTTTAAAAGTTCACACAGCATTTCAGCTTCACCGTCCCACACTTGTAAGCTGTTTTTTTATGCGTATATAAACATATACGCGAGCGATATCAAAGTAACATCGTGGTTTAAAAAATACTGTTTCAAAAAAAATCACGCATTTTCTTTCAAGAAACTGGTTTCTTACAAGCAAGTATTTACAAGGCGTGGTTATCAGAGATACAGTTATTCAAGTTTGGATTCCCTAAAGGGTTCAGAACTAGCGGAGTAGGGAAACTTAAGAAATATTAATATCAAATCTGATAGTTGATAAAGAAACAGAACAGAGACCAACCTCCCACTTAAAATCCACGAGAAACGTGCAGAATGCTCTAATCAAACAAGATAGTGTACTAACGAGAGTTTTTTTACAGCCTACGCAGTCAACAAATGTAGGAGAACAAAGCTGGGGGTGTGTCGGGTGTGTCTTAAATCGTGCAGAACCAACCAAGGGCCTTGGTAGATGAATATTGTCAAAACTTGGACTTAACAAAGACGTGTCGGTAAAAGAAAGTGCTTTGGCTGCACATTCACCTTCTACCACCCTCACCTAAAACTCATGACTGGGAGGGAGCACGTCCAGTGTCTTGTTGATAGAAAATACTGTGGAGGTCAGCGGGTTTTGAAAGTCATAAGACATAAATGTGTGGATTTAGATTAGGTTAGCTTAGTTTCAATTCTTGTTTAATCACAAAATTCGCTACACATAAATGTGGAACTAATATTAACTTACCAAAATCCGTTCATAACTTTTTAACTTGTACTATATTCATGCATTTCAAGTTGAAATTTGAGAATCGGCATTAATCACGCGACTAAATAAATTATTTTAACTTGTTTTTGCTATATTTTCCTCATTTTCAATACTTATGTGCTATTTTATGATACAAAAATAATTACCTATGAATAAAAATGGTTGTTATTTTTATTTTAAATCAAGATTGGCTCCGCATTAAGCTGGAGAGTGTATAACACTAGAATTCGGAGTTTGATCTCCGCCTGGATCCAGCGCAGAGAGCCCATTGTGTGGCTTTGCTTTGAAACAAACCAAGTCAAAATAGTGAACAGTTCGTTGATTTATAGAAACTTCCGTTAGTTTATCTGTCTCGATATGACTATAAACCATAGCTCGTGGTTGGAACGACACGGTGCGGGGAAAATCTTCGAGCTAGTATCCATATTTATATGAATGCCCCCAGTGGCACAGCGGTATGTCTACGGACTTACAACGCTAGAAACCGGGTTTCAATACCTGTGGTGGGAAGAGTACAGATAGCCCTTTGTGTAGCTTTGTACTTAACTTCCAACAAACAAACATTTGTATAAATAAGAAAATTGAAAATTTTGTTAATTTTTGGAAATCTAAATAACAATTATGCTCAGATATTACGCAACTTTGCCATTTTCATAACGTTTCGAAATTCAAGGCATTATGAAAAATGATCAAAATACAATGATGACCCATCCTAAACTTTCATTATGGATTTGAGTAATGTTCAAATGGCATATTGTTTGAAATAGGAGAACTATAAAAATAAAATCAAGTACACAACCAGAAACTTGAAAATTGCTTTGTAGGTTTATACGCAACAAAATACAAACACAAACACAAAGACACAACAATTAATATGTGTCTGTCAGGACTGTCTTTAACAAGTAATGTTTGTTTGTTGTTAAGCACAATACTACACAATGGGCTATTTGTGCTGTGCCCACCAAGGATATTGAAACTCGGATTTTAGCGTTATAAATAAAAAATGCGGTAACCAAGTAGTTTGAGTTGTTAAAAAATTGCCTTACTAGAAGTAGCTACGAGGTTAACCTTTTGACTCGATTAATAGAATGCTAGCAGGAGATCCCAGGTTCGAATCTGGGAGATTTAAAAAATTGGAATACCACAATAAATTATGCTATTTCTGCAAAAAAAAATGTGAAGCTTTCCAATAAAAGAAGTGAACTTATGGAATGGTAAGTTTAAAAGTTGGTAATCTCTATATGTTAAAACTGTGCACAACAAGAGACAAAGAAACGACTAGAAACTGAGAGTTGTGGTAATTAGTTTCAAACAAAAAGATGGAAGAGTGAAACTGAATTGTAGTAAAAACCTCGACTGAAATATACCCATTCATAAAATCATTCACAACGTGTGTCTTTCAATCGCATGTTTACTTTATTTTTAACGATTCAATTATTAAGATCTCTTCAATTACCCTGGTCTTTTGCACGATCATGCGATTATTGTTCATAAAAAGACAGAATTAACCAATAATAATGTTTAATATATAGTGTACTTAGTTAACTCGTCTCAAACGCATAATGCTAGTTGTACGTCAAGCAGTCTCATTTATGTAGTCAGAAAAAAACGCGCATAATACAAAAAGCAGTTAAAAAAGCTTGATGGGAGGATATATAACCAGCTGAGACCAAATGTCACTTAAATTAAAAACATAGAAAAAAAAGGTGAGTAAAGAAACACAGTGAAGTGTGGTACAGGATATAAAAAAGTTTATTTATGAAAAAATTGTTTGTCAAATATGGTTCGTCATTTTCTTCATTTCCCTGATATTTTGACTCAAAAGGGATTTGTAATACGCGTAGTATTTTAGTATTATGCAAATTAAGTTACGTTAAGATAATCAATACTAGTCTTCTTTTCTTTTCGATTTGCCCTGTCTGGTCCAGGGTTACTGATGATGGGTGGAATTCCCGAAACCGGTATAACTAAGTGACAAGTGGTGCATCGAATGATAGATTGGGTTTCATATTAATTTTTAGTATTGTTATTCCAAGACACTTTGTAGCTTTCTTTGTTTTTCTTTCTGGTTTTTTATAACAGTTAGGTAGTGTTTTCTGAATAAATTTCACGTTTTCAACATTGTTGTTGTAGAGTTTTTTCTGTAACATTTGATTGCATTTTTAAAAATCCTGTATTAAGAAAGATTATTGCACTCGTGTTTGTGTTTTTGCTATATCGTTGTTTCTTTTTAGGAAGTAAAGAAATAAGAAACATTATTCTAACATTGAGTTTCATTGAAGAACTAGGTATCCAGTAAGTCCATGACCTTCATTTAATGAGACTTGGGTAAGATGGTACTATATAATTGGAAAGCTTTTGAATATTAATATGAAATAATACAATAACTTACTGTTTGAGATCCACGTTTTAACCTGTTAATTGTAAGCTGTTCGTCATAGAATATAATTATTAAATCTTTGTTTTTCTTGGTTTTCAATTCCTAATAGGTTTTCTGAAAGAATAAATAAATAAATCGTTAGATATGTGAACAGGATAGAAATCATTATATAACACTTCTTTGTAACCTATGTGGTCGTTTAATTTCTACAACTGTTTTATATAACTATCTTGCTAAATCATTGGATGTTCTAGATGGTAAAAATGCGTGCAAGTGATATTGGTATAACAATAAAATGTTATTTATCAGATCTATATAATATCAAAGCCATTTTCATATAACATACTACTATTTAAATTTCCCGTCTTATCTATCTTCATTGGAGTCTCCTTGTGAATTAATTGTTGCCTCGAGTTTTGTTTTTACTCTTGGTGTTTTCCTCCTTTCAAAGCTAAGTCCATAGCGGGGAGTCCAAAATAAACTTCAACTGTTTCATTTATTTATTAGACGTCTTATAATACTGAGTATTTAGGAAGTATGCAACAACGATCATAATCTTAGTATGTTTCTTTCGTATTTCTTGTACATAAATAACTAAAAAAACTTCTGTTTCACCATTCCTTGTTACTCATTACAAGTAATCTCTAATCCTCTCAGTTAAAATTTTTCTTTCATGCAATTCAACGTTACATCATGTCGGTTAAAGACACGGCCGTCCCATTCACCCCTTTAAAGTAAATTAATAAAATCATTTTTGTATGTAAGTTTGCTGCAATTGATGCACAATACAAGTGGCACTTAGAAAAATACTTTTCTCGAAGAGTTATATGTTATAG